AAAGTTAATTCCTTGATTCGGCCAGACCTGTTATTATATTATTAACTTATTGGAAAAGACTTGAGTGCCCTTCTTTAAGTAAGAGGCACTCGAACTAATATAACAGTAMACATCAGCATTCTCAACAAGTAYAAAGAYTGAAATACCCCTTCACTAACACCACTAACACCTAGTAAACAAATCAGCCAACTAATGTCACAAATGGAGTTTGACACCTCTCCATTTATAATGTTATTCTTTATAAAATGGCAGTCCACTTCAGCATGTTTGTGAAATACAGGATTTGATATAATATGAACAATTGCCTTATTGTCACAGAGCAACTTTTATGTAGCTCCACCTGATAACCAATCTCTTGTAGGAAACTCTTCAACTATGTTAGATCACAAGTCATATGATCCACTGCCCCATACTTATCTTCTGCACTGGAGTGGACCACCATTCTTTACCTCTTACTCAGTTACTCATAAAATAGCTAAATTATACCCCCAAAAAGGTACAATGACCTGCATTAGAGCACCTATCAGACAGAAATCCTGCCTAATCAACCATCTTTATATCCTTCAATAAGCAATTGACCATTGTTCTTGCATAATAGACCATGACCTGATGCTCCTTTCAGATAGAGTGCTATTCAAATGAGTCCCAATGTGGAATTCATGGTGATTGCATAAACTAACACTCACGGAAAAAGAGATATCTAGTCATCAAACAGTTCCTCTTGGTATATAGTCAATTAATATTAGATCCATTGGTGTTTCAACAGGTTCAGTTCCTAGTAAAACTATTTCATCAAGTCCAAAATATCCTCCCTGACAAATTAATCTTACTTCTTGGCTTGGAAACTTCAATACCCAAGAATCAAATTGGATTCGTTATCTATTTGTAAAATCGAATTTGAACCTAGGTCCTATTATCCTATCAGATTCTACTTGAATTTGAGTATTGGATATATCCTAAAAAATCAAATTCAGATATACCCCTACTTGAATTCGATTTGATACATTTGCATCCCTATGTAAACAAACATATTCTAATGTCTTTCATGTCAACTTGAGTGGTAATTTCAATATTCAAGAGTTCCATCTAATAGTATTAGAGATGAGACACACTGATTTAGGACATGTCAGATGTGGTGTTGTTTTAATACTAATTTCTAAGAAAGAAGCCTAAGATGATTCCAAAAATCACATTTTCACTTTTACCTAAAATAGTTTTATCCATCCCTCCAAATAATGCAGTGAATGGGATAGCTTCTAGTTGTAGCATCAGTGATGCACTATTAACAAACTAGTTGCAATCACAAACATTTATACTAGCATTACTATTAAAAGGCAATAAGAACTAGGGTTATAACTCACAGGTTTTAGGAAATCGACATGATCAACTTCTAGAAAGCAGGGCATTGCACCAGCGAAGGCATAAGCTGTTGAAAATGCCAATTCGAATGCTCTGTTCATCAAGAACCCTCCAAATATTCGACCATGAATGTTCCTTTGCTGTGGCTGGCAAATCAAAGAGTTCTCAAGGTGGGTATCCCTCATAAGGATGCTATCTCTGTTTGCCAAAGCGGGCATATCACAGAAGACCCGTCCTTCAGCCAACAAAGCTTCAAGGCGATCTACTTCCCCATTTGCAAGGTCCCTTTTATGTTCTATCTTCCTCTTCCTTGACTTGTTTCTCTCTTCAGATTCTTCCCAGAGCATCTTTTCTTGTTCAGTTTCAGGCAAAAGACGATTCACTGGAGCAGATTTTCCTGTCTTAGAGTCACGAGCCACAAATGTGAAGTTTGCTGTAAGAGCTATTGGGTCTGAAGGATGAGAGGTCTCTGCAAGAGAAAGTCCTTAAATTACATAATGAAAAAGAAAATTATGACAGATAATGTTACCATATCAGTCACATGCTAGATAGAATTAGGAAGCATGCAAGGTTTTAAAAGGGTAAAGGCAGTGCAAGGCAGCTGGGCGCCAAAGAGCTGAGGTGTAAACCTCAAAGTATATATATATATATATTTTTTATGTATACAAATACAATGTTTGCACTATGCATGTGTGTATGTATATAGACATGCAATTTGTTTTTTCATTTTATAGCCAATTTACATATTTCCTATTATTACATATGTATTTGTTTTAACAGGAACCTTATGTTTCTTTAATTTTATTTTATTTTTATAATCTTCTCCATCTAAATTGACTAATTTATACTGTTAAAAATGCTTTACCTTTTATATTTAGTGCTGCAAGGGCACTGTTGTAAATTCCTTCTTTTTTTATTTTTGATTTCCCTAGTATATAATCTAATGCTGGCACTGCCAGCACAACTTTTTGGGCCTCTCATTCTTTCTCTCTTCTCTTCTCTTCCTTTCTACTATTTTTTCCAGGTCAATATGGTATCAGAGCGGGTCTGTTGGCCTAAAAAACATAACAGATCGAGTGCTAATTTCCTTTTTGCTGTTTTCTGTCAAAGAAACTTGGGAATACTGATCAGACAGGTTTGAGTCTTCTTCAGCCTTCTTTTTTCTTCTTGGTTGTGTACCAAGAAAACAACTTGTAATAGGTTCATGTGATTGATGTGAAGGGTTTAGAACCTTTTTTTTTTTTTCACTTTTTTGTGGATCATGTGATCCTTTCTGGTGTATTCATAGGTCAGGAGATGACCTGTGCTTGCTGTAACAGTAGTTAAGTGGAAGTTTGATGGGTCCTAGTTGGTGATTGTTCCACCATTATCTGATGCTGTATATGTTTTTCGGCAATCGTATTGTGTGTGAACTAGAGAAAATCATCAGAAACTATTCCCCCCTAGTGCTGGACTGTGTGGATTGAGAACAAAGTATAAAATAATAATAATAATAATAATAATAATAATAATATTATTATTATTATTATTATTATTTTTTCCTTCCTAGTTTTGATCTACAGTGCTTTTCTTTCTTGTGATAAATCTAGTGTGACCTAAAGTGACCTTTATGGCTTCTAAGGACTTAGTTGCCTCTGGTGTACCCTCTATTTACAGTGGGGGGATTGATTTGAACTTCCCGATGGATGTTGTTCCCCTAGATGGGCTTAACTATTTAGAGTGGTTGAAGGGGATCAAGCTGTATATCACTACAAGGGGAAAGATGGGGTACATCAATGGGAAGATTAAAGAACCTAGATCTGGAAGTGTAGAGCATGAAAAATGTAACAAGGAAAACAGCATGGTGATGTTGTGGTTGTTAGTGTCTATGCAGCCTCAAGTGAGAAAGAACTTCATGTGGGCTGAGACAACATATGAAATCTGAGAGCAAGCTAAGTCTACTTATTCTAAGCAATGACACTATGCTAAGATTTATCAGCTACAGGTAAAATCATCTACTTGTAAACAAGGGGAGAGAAGTCTTTCTGTATCTCTGACTTGACTTCTATCTGAAAAGAGCTAGACCATTATCAGAATGTGAACTGGAAGTGTGATGAGGATGCCAAAGCTTACAAGACTCTTGTTTCACAGCAACAGGTTTTTTCCTTCCTCTTGGGCCGGAATCTTGCATATGGATCCATTAGGGTAACACATCCTAGAAAGTAAGGACCTCCCATCCGTCCAAGAAGTGTATGCCCTAGTGCAGTCTAAGGAAAGTAGAAGTTTGATGAATAGTTCTGAGGGAGAATCAATGGATTTGGTGGAAAAAGGAGGTGTAGGTACAAGTGGTGGAAGTTCTTTTAAAAAGGGTGAGTTTCAAAAGAAAGTAGATGACAAAGATAAGCTATGGCACACCCATTGTTAGAGGTCTAAGCATATTCATGACACTTGTTGGGATCTTCATGGGAAGCTGAAATGGACTCAAAAGTTAAGTAAGAAGTCAGGTTCAGATCAGAATAGGAAACCAGGGTAGCAGGGTCCAAGAAAATCTAGTGCAACAAATATGGCTTCTTAGGAGACTCAATTACCTACTACTACTGTGAGTCAAGAACATTCTTCTGGTTCTGATCCCATGGAAGATAATCAATAATTCCTTACGTGATCATTTAGAGTTATATGGTAGGGCAATTCATCAGATAGATAATTTTGCCCCTACTCCCTCGACTTCCTTTGTGTCTACATCAGGTAATTCTGCCACAACCTTAAATGTAACTTCTCATTCCCCTAACTTTCCTTGGATAATTGATTAAGGAGCCTTGAATCATATGACTGGTAAGTCAAATTGCTTTCAGTCCTATCATCTCCTCTCTAGTAGGGACAAGGTGAGACTAGCTGATAGCTCTTTCTCCACCATAGCTAGTCAAGGAACCATGTCTCTCCCTTTTGGACTTCATCTTTCTAATGTTCTACATGTTCCAAAATTGCCTATTAACATGTTTTCTGTTAGTAGTATTACAAATTCATTAAACTGTTCAGTAACCTTCTTCCCTTCTTTCATATAGGATTTGAGCTCGAGGAAGACGATTGGTAGGAGTTGTATGGTGGACAGGCTCTACATGCTAGAGAATAAAGCTAGTCTTGCAATCACTAAGTCTTAGAGTCGGGTCAATTTGTTGCACAGTCGTCTTGGTCATTTATCTTTTGAGTCATTAAAAGTTCTGTTTCCAGAGCTATGCCAATGTCTAAATTTAAGTGTCAAACTTATTAGTTGAGCAAACAATGCATAACTCATTTTTCTTTAAGAAATAATAAATCTGAGTTTCCTTTTCATATTGTTTATTCTAATGTTTGGGGTCTTGTTACTTTGCCTTTTAAGACTGAATACAAATACTTTATTACACTCATGGATGACTACTCCAGGTATATATGGGTGTATCCAATGCGATCAAGGGATGAAGTACCCAAAATTGTAAAAGATTTCCAACAAATGGTTTTTACCCAATTCCAAGCTGAAATCCAAATCTTCCAATCTAACAATGCTAAAGAGTATTTCTATAGTGACCTCATGGATTTTTTTTTTTTTTGTTTCATGTGGATCCCTTCATCATAGCTCTTGTGCTCAAACACCTCAACAAAATGGTATTGTAGAAAGAAAAAACCGCCATCTTCTTGAAGTTGCCCGTGGGATACTTATACATATGAATGTTACAAAACGTTTTTGGCTAGAAATTGTTTATGTGCTGCATATCTTATCAACCATATGCCTTCTCAATGGTTGGTGTACAAGGTCCCACATCAACTTCTGTTTCCCAAGGTTCCTCTATTCCTTATTCCTCTACGCATATTTGGCTGTCATTGTTTCATTCAAGATCTGTTCTCCACTCATGGTAAACTTGACCCTTGTATTACTCCGTGTGTTTTTCCTAGGGTATCGCTCTTCTCAAAAAGGTTATCGGTTTTTTATCCCATCTACTGGAAATACTATGTTTCAATGATGTTTCTATGATCATTCACAGTCTTCAAATGGAATCCAACATCTAACTCCAAGGATTTTTTTGTCGAAGATGGTGTGGTGGTGCGTGTAATAGGCTTGCCATTCCATCTATGGAAACAAGAAATAGCAGAATCTATAGCTGTGTTGTGTGGAGGAATCTTGAAAGGTG